TCAGACGGTGATGGGATTTGAGCACACACATCCGGGGTGATAATTTGATGATGTTACCACCTGGCCACCACCGCTCATGTCGAAATTCCTGGAATCTACCCACTTTTTCTAATTCCCAAGGGGTGCGACATAGCAGGATATTGATTGTAGTTACTTTCTGTATGTATTATATGTATATATGTATATTGGAAATCCAAAACGTTTTCTCCACTACCTACGCAAATGCTCAACCGTCCTTTCCTCACACTTTATCCAAGGTTATAACCGTAGCTAAATAAAATTGTAACTGGACGCGGACCGGTAGATGATTTGAGATTTCCACGCACGAGGAATGACAACTGCTTATCTAATCATTCCTAATGTCACATACTAGGTAAAAGTAATATTATGGGCGGTGGTGGCCAGGCGGTAACGTCACCAAATTATCACCCCGGGGATGTGTGTTCAAATCCCACCACCAACGCCTGACTTGCCCTATTGTCTGTTGAATGGCAGCTCTTTGATTGGCCGCTTCCCGTTCCTGAAAATTGTATCTTTGTGTATTCAATAAAAGGAAGCAAACTGAAGAGAAAAAAATTATCGGAATTCTGTAAGATTGGAAATTGCCTGTAATGCTGGAAAACTCCTGTTGATATGCACCAATAGATGAGCGACCACACCAAACGTTGTTTTCAAATTAAATGGATAATACCTAATTAGTGGCATGCTTGTTTCGCTTGGAAAGATATCCGGGAGCGGCAAACGAGCACTGGTTTGATTAGATGCATTTAGGACGCGTATGTCGGACGTGTAAACCTCAGCCAACAACACCGCATTATTGCGTTCAATTGAATCAAATCAGTTTCGGTTCCAACTGCGTCAATGACAATAATATCTGAATGCAAGCATTGGGTGCAACAATGACTATTTTGAGTCTGACCCACATAACTTCGTTTTGTTTCGTGCTTGTGGACTGGGGAAGTATTTTAAGGTATGTGTGCTTGTGTGTGCGGGTAAGTGGATGGGTAATTTGATCGTAAATCAATGCCAACGAGCAGAAGATATAACGGACCACGGATTCTACAAGATAACAAAAGAAACAATGAGTAGCTAATTTTTGTTCTGAAATCACGTGTTACCAACACAACTTCAGCGTATCTGTCCCTATGCCTCCTCTGAGCCAGAAAAACCGCCGGAGTGGTATTTCAAACAAACAAACGCCCGCTGTGAACGCAAAAATTAGATCGATCTTTACAGCGCACCAGGTTCACATTGACTAAAACTTAAATAGGGTAATTCGATCTCATTACAGGGATTGTATTCAAAATCATTGGATGGAATTTAAGCGTTCACCCAATGCAGTGTAAGTCTTCAAAAGCGTTTTTGCCAAAAGAACTTTAAGCATTCTTGTTCTGGAAACAGTTTTAGCAAAAACCACCAAATGGTAAGACTTTCCGGCGTACTTCTGGAAGCACTCTGCCTCATTTCAACTGAAGCATTTATTTAGGGAAAACCCTGAATCACAATGAGGACAGGGTAAACAACCAATCCTGAATCATCATTTTGCTGTTAAATATTACTTTAAGACTGGTAAAAATAGAAGTCTTCAACTCGAATTAACTGCAGATCGCCGGACAGAATGGAAAGCGTTTGGTATCTGCAAAGTCCCCATGGTGTACTCATTCTGCCTTTGAGGCCTTCTAGCCTGCAGAACGGTCAGTTGGTTCAATCCGAACTTTTAAACTACAAAGATCACGTGCCAAGACCTGTGTACAGAGTCAAACCATTGTCATGCCTGTGCGTATGTGTGTGTTTATGCGTGTAATCGCACGTCAATCTGCAAACTTTAAAAACTGCCAGACAGTCGAGTTCTAACGCCAAACTCCCAAATTTAATCTCCGATTGATGTTGAAATGAACATGCATTGTGATCGGAAAAGTTGGAGCAGTAGCTGGAGGTAGTGCTTCCTCGGCTTTCGGATCACGTCTTATTCTTTTCTGAATTTTCTATCACTTAACTTTGCTCCATCTCGGGAACGCTACGCTTAAAACCGGTAATTAGTACGCCTTAGTACTCAGCAAAGACCGTACGTCTTCCATTCGAAATATTCCGGTAAAAAATCGATTCATCTCATCACAACCAGGTACAAAAAAACAGGTGATTGTCGACCTTTCCTCCTATGTACTTTTCCCATACGTACTAATAGCGATGAAGGACATTCAAGAAATAGGTGACCACTTGTGGTTATCATAAGGGTCTCAAAATGCATTTTAACTCGCGGCGGTTATTTTTTGACGCAGACTGCCTGTACTCTGAGTGAACGGACATTTTTCGGGAAGACTTTGTTGACCTTTGTGAATTCATTAAAAATGCCAGTTGTTCCGCATCCCTGACCGTAAAAATTGGTAACACCAACCGAAATGGTTGCTTGAACAAGGATCGTGGTTCAGCTGATTGCCGATCATGAAAAGTGGAAA